TTTTTGAGATATCTCGCCTGAAATGTTTTTCTAGTCGACATTGGTTGCTTACATTTTCTGATACTGACAGGTTATACTAATAGCTACTAAGCCCATTTTTTTATCAGATGTTTAGTAAGGATGACTCTTCCGAATCATGCTCCAAAAACTGGCCTGCGTTATACAGGGTGACCAAAATATCATGTCAAAATTGCCAATTGAAAAATTGAAAAATCTCGATTTTTTTTAAATGCAACGCCCTGTATATTTTCATACCATGAGATGCGGAATTAAATTCTCTACAACTTTGCTATACCTGCACCTATACCAAAATTCATTAGTTTTTCATGAAATCTCATTTCCATGAAAAAATGCGAAGTTTACAAATAGCTTATATGTAAAATAACGTAGTAGGCTCCTGTCAAAGGATGATCTGGATAATTGAATATATTTTTAATTTGTACAATCCGAGAAATGTGGCAACACTGTAAAAAGAAAAATCCATATATTCCTCATTTTAACATAGATATTGGACTTTCCCCCCACTAGTGGGACACGCTGTATAAACAAAATACTTATAAATTAAAGTTAATCAAGCATAACTCATTTGTTAATCCATTCAAATTCCTCGAAATAATACGTGTATTAAAGTGGGGTATGACGTATTTACCAGAAGCTTTAGAAATACATAAGAGCTTTTATTACATTTACTGAAATTTTATGTTTCTAAAATATTGTGTATAAAATGTCTAAAAATGTCGTACTTGCAATGTACGTAACTACATCACATTACACATATTACGGTTTGAATTTAACTTGGTTTCAAGTTAAGCCGTGATGGATGGACTTGGACTTGCATAACAGAAGTAGATTAGAAATCAATACATTTGTTTTTTTCCGTAAATCCATATGAATAAGAGGGATTGTGTAAGTCGATAATGAAAGGTTCAGGCCATCTTGTAAGATAAATGATCCTAGATCTTTACTAATCCACGTTAGATAAAAGATAACAAACAACGAATGATAAATGGCGAAATTTGATGTTTAATTTGCCAAAACTAGCATAAATACATAACTTAGTTGTTATGACCTACTAAACGTATTGCAGTGGATCTGTTAGAGTTACTAATGTTTATTTGTTAACACAAAGCATTAATGGTTAACTGGAATCTAGAGGTACGCGTCTTAGTTTCAGAATCAGACTAATTGTTTACCTCTACAAAATTATGGCTATACTGAATATGCAATGTTCGGTTTTAGTCTGATATAAGTTTAGTCCGCAGTATATACAATGTAGTCGCTAAGTATGTTAATATTTTAAATATTTTTTCTTTGTGTGGATGATAGAAATGAATTTACTACATAGTACTTTATCTCGTATTAAATTTTACAACTTAGTTGAAAATATTGACTGGACATTCGTTAACAATATAGATCTAGATGTTAATGTCAAATTTCAAATTTTTTTAGATAAAATACTAGATTGTAATAATTCAGCTTTTCCTGAGAAAAAATATAGTAATAAACTCAATACAGCTGTGCCTCCGTGGTTTAATAATCATCTGAGAGTTATGCGTGAACAACTTAACTTCTTTATTATGATATACAAAAAAAAAACCATGTTCAGAAAATAAATTGAGGAGAAATATCTATCGCATGCAGTACAAATCTGAAATTAAAAAAAAATGTAAATGTAATCTAAATGTAAAGCGAATGAGAAACTGTTAAAAAATACTAATAACTCTAATAAGTGTAGGTGGGATATTATAAACAAGCAGAAAAAAGGTAAAGTTACCAAAAATAAGTCCAACCGTAACAGATATATTTAATGAATATTTTACGACAGCGGCTGCAAAGGATTTGGAAGCCCGTAAACTATGTTCTCAGAAAGATACTTTAAATCCATACTTTAATTTTGATTATAACAAATTACCCTATAATAGTTTTAAATTTTCTGTGGTAACGTACATTGTAGTGAGACATCATTACAAACATTAAAAGTAAAGCTACTAAAGATATATATGGCTTAAGTGTGAAAATCATAAAAATTTTAAAGAATCTCATAGTGTATCCATTAACTAAACTAATAAATGAATGTCTCTTCCAAGGAATATTTCCTAATATACTTAAGGTGGCAGTAGTTTCACCAATATTCAAAAAAGGTAACCTTGATGACCCAGCAAATTATAGACCGATATCGGTGCTTCCAGTTCTCTCAATAATATTAGAAAAATGTTTGTGCAATGTTTGTGCCTGCGTATTTTGAGTCAAATAAACTCCTCGCAGAATGTCAACATGTTTTTCGAAAGAATCATGATACTACAAGTGCAATACTGGCCTTTGTAAATAACGTTCTAAACGCATATGAAAATCTTGATTTCTGTGATACTATATTCTTGGACTTAAGTAGGGCTTTTGACTCTATGTCACACGACATCTTAGTTGAGAAGTTGGGAAAATATAGACTTAGTGGATGTGACTTAAAAATAATAAAATTATTTTTAGCTAATAGAAGTCAAAAGTAAAAAGAGATGTGACAATAGGTATACCGCAAGGGTATTGGGACCCTTGTTATTTTTAATTTATAATAATGATATGCCGATGATACCACCATTTCTATCAGATCTAAACATATAATTGATGTAGAGGCTCGAAAAAATGAAGCTCCATCAGGAGCAGAAAAGTGGTTTACTTGAAATAATCTTATATGTAACAGAAATAAAACACAACGAATGATACTTCCGGTGATGAAGTACCCGCTGTAAAATTCTTGGGTGTCCTTTTGGATCCCCATCTGAGGTGGAATATCCACATAGCCCATCTATGTGGATTTGTAAAAAACTGAGTACTGCTGTATTTGTTGTTCGTAATCTCTCAGGTTCTGTGTACACTAGCGTATTGAGATCTGCCTACTTCTCCTTGTGCCATTCAATTATGAGTTATGCAATAATAGTCTGGGGTCATGCCGCAGATTTTGATAAAGTATTTGCAATTTAAAGAAAAATTAATTAGAATCATAGCTGGACTGGGTTATATGGATGATTGTAAAAATGCATTCATCACATATCAAATATTAACTTTACCCTCATTGTATATTTTGGAATGCTTGACATACGTTAAACCAAACCTAGACAGCTGTCCCACCTATGCAAACCAACACAGTTACGATACAAGAAACAAAGATAATATAATAACTCCATACTATAGGCTAAATAAAACACAAATTATCTGGCGATTTTGATGTATAACCGGTTACCATCACAAATTAAATATATTAAATGTAAGACATCCTTTAAGAATACGGTGAAGAGGTTTCTCCTGTTAAAGGCATTTTATCTCTGTAGGGAATTCTTATCATGTAATGATTTACACTTTATTAGCTGAGGTGTGATCTAGAGTTTATTTTTTGTGTGATGTCTATTATATTTTGTGATGCGCAGATGTCTGTGCCTGCTGTCGTACACTGTTATACATTTAAATTAGTTTTAAGTATTTTCAGTGCTTTTATTCTGACTTGTGTAAGTACTTGTTACAGTAACACCAATAAACTATTATTATTATTAGACAAGTCAGAATAAATACAAGTATCTAAGTGGCAGGTTAAAAATATGTCTTTTTAATATTTTCAATAATTATTTTAACATAAGAACCGCAAAAAACATAAATGAAAATTTTAGATTAAAAATAGATTCAGTATCACTTTATTTGAAACATACTTTATTTGAAAAGAAACATATCCCAGCGGATATTAATGAATCAATATACCTAAATGTATATATTCTGTTTGTTCAATTTTTAATGAAGCATATAATATTGCTTTGATTTACGAAAACCGAAATTTTCTTTAATTCATAATCTCTGTAGGTATTTACAGTACAAATTTTGAAAAAAATGTCCTCAAAGGAAGCTCTTTCCATGAATAATATTTAACCAAAAATGAAAATTCAATTCCTCCTCAATTCAAGTCCCTCAATTTCTGCTACATCGATATTAGTTACTGCATGTTGAATACTTTAAATATCACAATTTTAATCAGTTTGGTATTGTCCATGGCAAATGATGTTGAGTAGAAATTATTTTTTAATTAAAAGACGCACAAACCTTACCAAATATCGTTGAGATTTAATCTGTTATTTATGTTGTTATTAGAAAAAATTTATTTGAAAATCAACTTAACTGAGATCAACTTAAAATCTTTAATATTATAGAAAATGGCTAATTCGCAGGTTAAGCGTTATTAATTTGACCTAGGTCTTACCGAAAAATATTTTAAGTTCGCTCTTAAAGGAACTTTTTTATTGACAAACTTATTTCATTATAAAACATGTTTCATGTTTATGTATCGTGTCCCATAAATAATGTCCATTCCCTTTAGACGGACAGGGTAACAAAAAACTATGAAGTGTAGATCAATAACGTTTTTCTTATCTGATGTTGTTACAAATGATATTTTCCTTCAAGAAGATATTGCGGCATCGTGTTTAGATAATATGTATTAGGATGTTTACTAAAAGTGACATCTTATCATCGCTATCCTTCATTCCATAATTCTTGGGTGATGAAATGAATCCATCAATTACTTTTTATATACTTTCATTTAAGTAGATACTATAAAATATATACAATTTTTTTAACGCCATATTTACCGAATCCTTCAAAAACGTGAACGTAAAATATTATCCAATGTGAACATGTTAAAAACGTTAAAATAACGTAGTTATGGTTGATATAACGTCAAAGGCTGAAAATATATCAATTTAAATTAAATTACACGAATTTTCAATCGAACGTTAAAAAACATGTAATTTACAATAATCTTATAATTCTTATAATTAAACATTATAAAAAGTTAAAGTATTATCTCATTATATTATTTTTGCGTTAAAAATACGTACCTACTTAAGTACAATGCTAATTTTAATGAGTTAGATATGTTTACTGTCATAAAAAACTAACTTTATTAATAAATACTACTACTAAGTATTAATACTTTTCTAGTAATATATAATTTTTTCTTTCAGATTGCCATTAAAGTGGAAACTCACTCCTGTAGACATGGTACCAAGAAAAGTAATTTAGAAAAGAATCAAAACCAAAGATGCATTCCTTGTAAGTACATAAACTCTTCTGATTATTTAATGGAAAAATCTTGTAGCCGTTTCATCAACACGGTTAATACATTAAAAGGGTATCTTAAATACACCTTCTATAATTGATTGAGGCAATGGGATGACCTATAGGGCAAATTATTTTCCATTCTTGATCCCGTTCAGAACGGACAAAATATTATCATTTTGGCTTAAGAAAAAACTACATATTATTTTGGTAAAAACGTCAATCTTCGAATAACTTGTTATTTTATAAATTTTGTGAAGGTATAAGGAAATTCAAAATGTAAACCAATGTACCTAGCTTGTTTTCCAAATCTAAAATGTTTAATCAAATTTTAGTAGTGAACTTTGCATCACAAATGAGGAAATACATTTTATGACATGGGTGTGTTTGTAAACAGTTAATTTTTAAGATCCGATATTAATTAGATAAAATATATTTGCATTGCTTCCTTAAACAGTATTTAGTTCTTTATACTGATTTTTTTATGGTAGAGATTTTGGGAAAACGCAGGTGTTTTTGAAACATCACCTTATTAATTGTAAAAAGTACTTTTTGCAAGATGCTAAAATACATACCTACACTTCTTCAGGAAAATAAATGTTATTTTCTATTATAAGGGAAACCATTCTAATTAAACCACTCTTTGTGCTAGATAGGTACACTGTAAAAAAATCAGTGTCAGTGAAAGCAATAAAGGATCTGAGTGAATCTATTGAGTGAAATTATTATTATGATCATTTTACTCATTTGTGATTATATTTAAATTAAAATTGAGTACATTCACTCATATATGTATAGGTACTCCTTTAATAAATTCTTCACGTAAATTCGTATTTGATGCACTTGTACCTAAATCAGAGTAAATGTCCTCATACCGGGTTAGTTTAAATGTATATTAATTTCGAGTAATTTGATTGGCGTAGTGAAGATGACACCAATTATATATTGCTTCTGTAATCTCGACCACAGTTGATAGGGGTCCTCCAGAAAAGTGGATTAATTTCAACACTTTATATCTTAATCATTTATGATTTAATTTTGCACTCAATAGTTAGTTAATTAAAAACCAAGTCGGAATAAAGAATGACTCAATAATAGTTAAATTTAAATCATACCTGTAATTAGAGAAAAAGTTAACTCTAAATTGGTTTTATATACTCAGAATAGAGTCAAAAGTCGCTCAATTGATAGTTAGAACTCTACACTAAACACTAAATTCACTCATTTCTGATGCAATAGTTTCACTCAGTTGTACTCATACTAATAGAGTGAAAATTTCACTTAATCGGGTGTGGACAGAAATTAATACATTATTGAGTAAAATTGAGTGAAATTTGAGTGAAATTTTTTTACAGTGTAACTAAATTAAGTGCTTTTTTATTTATTTAAATCAATTAACAATTGCAATAGACAAATAAAAAACTGTTTTCTCAGGAACTATGTATTTTAAGGATATGTAAAATATCTCAAAATTTTGAAATATAAAAAAATTATTACAAAAATCAAGACTATTTAAGGTAAATTAAAAGGCTATTTAAGGTGTTTATTCATATTTGGTTAGCCTAAAATCTTCTCGAAGCAAAATTTCCATGAATTATTCTAAAAAGTAACCTAGTTATCATAAACAATAAACAAAACAATTTATTTGAAGACCCGTACCTTTAAGGAATCATTTCGCTATTGAGACATATTTAGGTAGTTGTTTCCTTAGGTATGGGTAACTTTTGGCTAATTAATTTTACACATTTGTGACTCCCAATATGTATTTTTTACTTCAAAGGATTAATATCTTAAATACGAAATATATAGAATCTCAACTTCTACTAATCCCTGAACTTGGATTCGTTTTGAAAGGAATTCTTATATATAAAAGTAATTTAGAGTAAATAACTTTTCGGAAACTTTAAGGACACGATTACATTTAGTGCAAGTGACAGGAAAAACATTAGGATTAAACTGAGCTAACAGTTCACTATAGGCTTTTTTTCGGGAGTGAATATTGGTGAATACGTTTGACTTGTAGTTACTGTTTCTATCTCTTTTAATCTTATTTCTAACCTTGTCTAACCTGAACAGATCGCGAAAATGTATATATTCACTATTCAGTGGTGCAGCCTGTCATATGTACTTTGACGACTTTGACATATGGGTTCTAACTTCTAACCAGTAACCATAATTTGTCATCCTTTATTGCTTCCAGTAATCTAGTGTTGTGGGAATTGGTGTTATCTCACTATATAATATATGTATTTGCTTCAAATAAAACTGAAGGAATATATCAATGCTTTCTTTGGAATATTTTTAAGTGGCAAATTTAAAAAGCGTGAAAAGTATGTAGATTCTGATGTTGCAAGATATGCGAATATTCGACATAATCGTTATCGTAAGAGAATGGAAGGTTAGGTCGTTTTTTTATGTAATTCATACGAAAAAGACCTGAATTACAAATGATTCCACCAATATTATCTCTGGCCTAGGTCACAAAAAAAAAGAGGATAATCCTGAAGCAAAGTGGATCGCAAATATGTCCCATATAAAAAATTAATCTCACCATTAAGTAAAATATTTGCTGTTTCAACGTCTACGTTTACTAAAACATTTGTGCCTCTAAAGTTTAAATTTAAACTGACCACTTCCACAGCCGTATCAGAATCCATCATTTTGCTAAACGATTGTTATCCTCATTCAAACAAAATGTCAAAAAGAATAAGGTTAAGTTACCGGCTGACAATAATAGTTGAATATACCAACAGAATATTCAGCTGAAGGATGAAGAGTTCAGTCATTTGAACTAAACTTGTGACGTCACATAGTAGTTTAAATGACTGACTATTCTCGCAAAAACGTAATATTCACTCATACTACACATACTACAACATACGACTTCACTCGCGAAAAAAAGCCGTATGTCAGTCTATTTAGATCTCTAAAATACGTGGTGCCATTTTATATTTAAAAAAAATTGGGTCTGAGCTCCTCTTGGAAAAATAGTCCAGACTATTCACATTACGTCTTCCTCATTAACGTTGTATTTAGGAGATGCAGAGTGTTGAAGTTGTTACTTTGAAGAGGGTTTTTCTTGTCTTTAAATCGGCTAAGGATAAAGTCAAAATTTGTACAGGCTGGAATGTTATGACCAGCACTTTTTTTAAGTTTAAATGAAAGATATATTTGTTTAAACCCCCCAAAAAATTTATCCGACAAAAATGTTGGTATTTTGAGTTTGTCCCCCACCCCAAACATGTCGATTTGGTGACATTATGGTTGGTGACAACCAGCAAGTTGATTTTTCTGGGAAGGTTTGGTAATAAGATTTAAAATGAAAGTATCTTATTGTCCGACAAAATTCTTGAGAAGTTTTTGCAATCCGACGCCCCGAAGATGTCGACTTAACGACAACATGGTTGGTGATAACCAGCAATCTGGTTTTGATTTTTTTCTCTAATAATTGAAATGTATAACACAATAATATACTTGTCCGCCAAAAAGATTGGAAAATTTGCCTTAAAAATGGGAAAAATAACTA